TTATGATACGCAAATTTTTACTACGACCCACCATTTTCGAAATATTGCCGAAAAACTGCAAAACTGTACTTTCAACCCCCTCCCCTCCCCCCGGCAGCACCGAAATCGCTTGAGACACATAATCATCAAGGGACCTTCAACCACACATTCCCGAAAAAATTGGAACTACACGAATTATTTTTTCTATTTGCAAAAGGCAAAATTTTGATCGGCAACGAATCATCTGTACAAATTAGTAATATAAAAGCATAAACGTAACGTTAATTTCAAGAAAAGTACCGTACTATGTACAAATAACTAAATTCCTATACAACAATAATCTGAAAGATAGAACGTAATCAAACATAAATGAATATTCGTAGATGATTCGTAGCGACACAAGTAATTATAACGCGGACATAATCGAAGTATCGGTAAAGTGAAATCTTCGTAACGGTGATGTACTAAAATCAGATATACCGTTCCGTTAATACTTGCGGTTGCAATTCAGGAACAATTATTCAAATCTCCAGGTGTAAATAAGTAGATAATGAATGTATCACGTGGCGTCGTCAATGTCAATCTCATCAAGTCATAGAGGTATTGCGTCGATGTAAGTCGAAATACTCAGGAGATATCTGTAAAAAATACGTATTAAAAATACTGTTGAGTCCATTCTGTACATACTTCACAGCAACGGTGCAGTCACAACCCATCAGAAATAGAAACAAACACTCCAAAGAAATATAATGTTATCCACTACAAGGAGCTCTTTTCGGGTAGACCTACGTCAAGTAAAAGCCATGGCGTATCCAGAAAAATGTTTGCAAGTAAGCACTATGAATGCAGGATCATCTTTGAAAGGAACAAGACAGGGAATGCGCAAGGCAACCTTATAGAAGGTATAGAATTATGTGCAGAAAAGTACATGTGAACTCTAGCGGCGAAAATAAAGAACTAAAGTAATAACCATACAACTAAGCTACATCTCAAATAAACGGGTTTACAAAGGAAATACGTAGATGGCGTATGAATATTACTTAAATGAGAGTACATTACGAAGGAAAAGAACGTAACAAAACTGGTTGATAGGTTTATTCTCGGTTGATATGCGGTCACAAGGTGACGTAAACGTTGTAGAGAGAGAGCGTGGAAAGTAAAAAATACGGTTAGATAGGAGTCAAAGGACGAATGGAAAATGTGGTCACGGAAGAAGCGTAGACCTAATTTCTTCTTCTTGGAACTGGTGGTGGTCATACAGAAACTAGTTATGCGTCGGTCTAGGTTACCTGACGTACAGAGAAAGAATTTTCTGTAACATATACTAGCCTTAACATCAAAATAGCATAACAGATGTACTGACAGGGAATAAAACTGGATCATACCCCAATACAAGAGATTGTTTGGATTGGATTAACAAACATTTCCTGGGCGGCGTGTATTGTGTTGATACCATAATAATAATTTTTTGGAGCTGTATTAATATCACAATCGAAACTAGATCCCAAAACAATTTGAAGTTGAAGATTATTAATAAACAAGGTGTTGATACAATTTTGGGTCTCTTGAAGATTTTGTTTCAAGTAGTTACATAGATACGTAGTCGGAGTGGAACTGTTCCAGGTATATATTAACAACTCAAGGAATGTGACTTAAATTCAATGACGATTTTTATTATCGGGTGGTGCGATAGGTTGGGGGTTCTTGCTGTTTGTTCTTGTATTGCTATAATCATTTATTAATTAATTATACATTAAGTTATGTGACATAATTTGCATAATAGTCAGTTTTCATAGATGGACCTTATTTGTGGCACCTACCCTACCCATCGGGTTAATTGTGTATTAAATGTCTTTCCACCTCATAGAACCATTCACTTTACCTTTACCCGATAATGGCATTTAATTATGTGAGGTATTTTAAGCATAGTAATAAATTACCTAGTACTATCGTGCGTAGGTAATGATGAATAGTTCATCGTAATTAAGAATGTCTTAAATTGCGTTAACCATTCGTGTTCCAGGTATGATTGGTTAAATAATCCGATCTTCAGGCGAAACTGTTACAAAAGTGCGATAGGCGAATCCATTAGTGAATGCACCGTACAATTAAACTTCGACGATAATTAATCTCACCGCGGGTGCCGTCCAAGTTCAAATCAAGAGGACGGCGGTGTGAAAAAGCTTTGTTCGGCTGCAGTCATCTTCGATCGAAAGCTTTTATCTTTGATAACGTTTTATTACTTAAAAGTTACACGCGTTTACAAATTACACAAATTGATTCTGCTTTATTTAATCTCACGACGATTTCGAGTGTTTAATTATAAAGATGAACGGCTGTAAAAAAGAGTAGGGTCGTGAAACGCTATTAAACCATCACAGTCAATCACCCCATTGTCGTAAAGTCACTTGCACCTGGGTCATCCACAAATACAATACGCTGTTGCTACTCGAACGTCAAATCAAATGACTTCTTTTAATAAACCTGCCAGTGTTCGACCATACAATTAGCAAATACATCAATCTATTGAGCGGACTTTATAATTTAAATAGTTTTACGTTTCAGCAGTTACAGCTCTAGGTACGTTGCACATAAATTATAAAGGAAAATGAAACATTTTACGACCTTTCAATAAAGCTTGTTATGTTATAATTTTACAGAGTTTTGGTTCATAAATGCAATAATGAAATAGCATCCACCTTGAAATTAACTTTGAACACCTTGTGCGGTATGCGTTGCCGGCTATTATTTCATAATTATTTACGTATCGGAAAGCTCGACTGACCGACCGTGTTGCATGATAAATTAACTAATTTTTAATTACAAAATTCCCCCATATATTTATCTTGCTTAGATCAAAGTAAAAACTTGTTAGTAATTACTTTTATTGCTCTAATTTAAATCAAACACATTCAAAGTTTTCTAGATATTATTTGCTTCGGCTCCAATTTAAAAATACGTCCAGTTGTAATAAACAAGTTTAATTAATGCCCCAGCGTCGAACAATAAGGTTCGGTATGATTGGGTTGTTGATCCATTACACTTACACAAAGGAACTTCGATAATATCTAACGGCGAGCCCCGATTTCATGACAGTTATCGTATACAAATATTGTTTTACCCCATCGAATCGAAATGTGACCATTGCACAATGAGCTTCAAATTGGGAAATTACACTTCTGCAGCTCGTCAATAAAGGTAATTACAGGGTACAGAAGCCGTAGTGGGGCTAAGGTTATACTGCAACTACCATAATCACAGACTCTGTTAACATTGTAATGTTTTACTGCGCTTTGTGCAAACTATTTTATTAGCTGTCATTTCTAAACCCCTCAGATATAAATTCTCAATATAAGTAAAGCAATTGTTGTTGGTGGTGAAAATAAGGGTCATACTTTATAGACGTAAATGACTGAAGATTTCACACTAACTAAAATTAAGGTTTGCAACAGAGAACAGAGGATAATACGCACTTCTGTTAATTGAAATTGCAATCAGTGGTCAGACAATAAACGCTTTGTCCACGATGAGTCAATCGTATTGATGGACATCCCCTCATTGCCAATGTTAGGTATACCACCGACAGCATCTGAACTATACAGATAAACAATGCTCCTTTACTTCACATTTGCCGATTCGTATAGTTCGCACTGGATCCACGATCCACATTAAATTAAGTACCTACTAACAATTAAGAAGGAATAAAAGCGCCAGGCCACAAAAACGCAGTTCGACGGTAATGCTGTCATAATCAGCAAGTTACTAAGGGTTCCTCGAATCCGGCACGAACATTTGTAAATACACAGGGTGTCTTAAATTGAGTAGGATAATATGGCTACCTTTGTTACTATTATACTCTAGTATATTTATCAATGACTCACTAACGCGATATAATCGTATTTTATTTGCTCAAGCTAGAGCTCACGCTAAAGAGCACAAGATTAAATTCGTATGGACCCGAAACGGTCAAATAGCTATGCGCAAGCAAGATAACTCCAAAGTGTTTATTATAAAATCTACAAATGACTTTCAAGATGTCCATTGACACTACCGTTTCCATGTCTGTTTCCTATTTAGTGCTCACAAAAATTTTTGAGTTGTATAGAATTATATTCTTATTTATGTTTATTTTCATTTGGATAGCTTGTATTTCTTTAGGCCATGTATTTGACCTGGCAGAATATTGATTATTTATCATCTTTCTTTTTTGTTTGAAATGAATGGTAAAAAACATTTAAACATTTATTACCAAAATGTCAGGGGATTAAAATCGAAATTAACTCAAATTTATATGAATGTACTGTCAAATTCTTATGACATAATAATCTTAACAGAAACTTGGTTAAATAATAGTATCCTCTCCAATGAACTATTCGATGATAGGTACTTAGTATTTCGTAAAGATCGTGATAAAGTCACTACCCATCTTAAAGATGGCGGAGGTGTTCTAATAGCAATTGATAAAAGATGGCACGCTGAAGTAATTAATTTTGAATTTGTGGAAGCATTGTTAATCAAAGTGGGGAGCAGTCCAAAGTATCGCATGCATATCTGTGTTGTTTACTTTCGGCCTAACACAACAATTAATGCGTACAACGACTTCTACAACCTTTTTGATACTTTGCCTGATTGTATCAAAAACAACCTGTTAGTTATAGGAGATTTCAATCTTAAAATATGTGGATCTGGATATAAGTTATTAACTGGGGATAACTTATGCATACAATTACACAATTTTATAAATTTAAATAATTTACAAAGCAGAAATAACATACTAAACAGCTATGGTAAAACCTTAGACTTAGTTCTTACAAATATTGCTGAATTATCTGTCAGCTGCGCTCATCCATCTGATTTATTAGTAGGTTTAGATCATTACCATCCTGCTCTTTTGTTGCATGGTGATCTGATTATTCCACTCAACAGAACACAACTGTTGCCTGACCGTATGTACAATTTTGCCAAAGCAGACTTCTTAAGCATTTATTATGCATTAAGAGATACTGACTGGTCTAATGTAAGTGTCGCTGTTGATGTCAACGATTCGGTTAATGTTTTCTATGACCTTCTGTACAAAATATTGGACAAATTCTGCCCCAAGAAAAGAGTTAGGAGTGGTTCATCCTATCCAGTCTGGTTTTCGACAAATATAGTGGCATCTATTAGGCTTAAACATAAGCTGCATAAAAAATACAAAAGACTACGTTCACTAAATGATCCATGTGCATCGGATAGTTATGTGCAGTTCTGTAATTTACGTTCATCAGTAAAAAAGGATATATCCTCAGCATACAGGCAATATCTTATTGGCATTGAAAATGAAATTGGGCGTGACCCTAATCGCTTTTGGTCCTACGTGAAGCACTGCAGGAGGCAAACTTCCCAGGTGTATGAAGTTGAGTTTAATGGTGTTGTTGCGTCAACGGGTTCTGAAATATCAAATAATTTTGCTAACTTTTTTGAGTCTGTTTACCTGCCATCTCCATCAAACAAGGATTATTATGACAGCCTTCATAATAACAGTAACCTAGTACACACAGATGTGATTACGTTGAAGGAAGTTGACCAGGGCACAGTCCTAAAAGCTATGAAAGATTTGAAATCTAAAAAATCAATGGGTCCTGATCTCATTCCACAGTATTTTTTCAAAGGACACTCAGAACTGTTGAGTAAACCACTGTGTATCATAATTAACAAATGCCTTAAGTCGAATACCTTTCCTGATGTATGGAAGACCACCAAGGTAACGCCTATATTTAAGAAAGGGAATAGAAATTCCGCGTGTAATTATAGGCCGATTTCTATACTTTCAACACCTGCGAAAATTTTTGAAATTGTCTTGAGAAAAGAGGTTCTCTCACATGCGTTGCGACATATCTCCGATAGCCAACATGGATTCATCTCGGGTAGATCCACTGTCACCAACTTGGTCAACTTCACGCAATTTGTTTCCAGCAGTATGAACCAAGGTATTAGCGTTGACACCATCTTCACGGATCTGGCGAAGGCCTTTGATAGATGTGACCATTCTATCATTATATCTAAGTTAAAATATTATGGCTTATCTTTGGATTTGCTACACCTCTTCAAATCCTATTTTACAAATCGGAGTCAATACGTGTGGTTCCAGGGATTTACATCTAGGCAGTATATCGCCACGTCGGGAGTCCCACAGGGCTCTGTGTTGGGTCCCGTTATCTTCAATCTATTAATAAATGATGTCGTTAACGTGGTAAAGAATTCCAATATTCTGTTATATGCAGATGATTTAAAGTTATTTAAAGCCATTGCTGACGTAAATGATTGTCGAGAGCTACAAAATGATTTAGATGCTGTAAATGTTTGGTTGGAGCATAATAAATTGTCTTTCAACGTTTCCAAATGCTCAGTTCTTACCTTCACAAAAAAGATAGCTCCCATAACGTATGAATATTCCATGAACGGGGAAGAGCTACGACGCATTTTGGAAATAAAGGACTTAGGTGTAATACTGGACCACAGGTTAACTTTCTCTGCACACGTAGAAAACAGTGTAGGCAAAGCATACCGAAACTTAGGATTTATCTTAAGGCAAGCTGCCAACTTTTCTAAAGAACACACTTTAAAGTCTTTATTTTCTGCCATTGTTAGACCACACTTGGATTATGCATGTATTGTCTGGAAGCCTCATTCCTTCACCCATAGGAACAGCCTAGAAAAGGTACAAAAGAAGTTTCTAAGGTATCTCAACTATAAACGTAGCGGACAATACTCATATCTCATACCTTACGCTGAACTGCTGTCATCCTTTAATATGGAATGTGTTAAAAAGAGGCATGAACTTTCCCAATTGAATTATTTGCACAAGTTACTCCATGGGAATATTGCTAACCCCGAAAATCTGGCGCAAATTAATTTTCATGTTTCACCTTTTCTTCGTCGTACCCATACACTGTTTTATATACCTTACTTACGCACAAACTTACTTATTTTTTCGCCATTGATAGATATGCAGCGACTATACAATCAAATCTGTACCTTGTCTGGCAAGGTTGACATTTTTCGTTATAATCTCTCAACGTTTATATCACATTGTAAGTCACTTCTTTAAACATAAAACTTCATTGCGTCTTACCATGCCCATACCTCCATGCACTTCTTCGTCATTTATGCTATTCATACACACACATTCACAAACTTGTACTAAATTTTTACAATTATTTTTGTTTATTTAATATTAAATTGAGTTAGAATATTTATTCTCTGTTTTTCATATACTTGTTCTGTTTACTTATATTCACTTCATGTTTGTTCGTCTTAATGTTATTGTTTAAACTGCTTTACTGTAATTGGGTACATGTAACCTGTTGTAAAGCATGTAAATAAATAAATAAAAAAATAAATAAATAAATAAATC